CCCAGCGCAGGCTGAACTGGAGCCACCAGCAAAGTCTGCGGTGCCTCCGTGAAATTATATTTAGGAAAAGGGCAAAAAAATGCCAGACAGGCCGGGGTGGGGTGGGGTGGGGAGGGAGTGAGGAACAGCAGAGGGAACGCGAATTTCGGAGGAGGAGGAGGAGGTGCTCCAGGTGCTGCAGCAGGCAACAGCAACTGCAGCTCTGTTTTAATTGGTAATAAATTCAGTTTTCCCCAAGCCAGGACCGTTTTGACTGGGACTTTCCCTGGGAAAGTTACGGGACGAATCCTCCTGGGGGCCGTCACAAGCCTGGGAAGCACGTGACTGGGAAAAGCCAAGGTGGCTTCACCAGGGGCAGATCCCACCCGACAAACCTGGTGGCCGCCTACGACAAAGTGACCCGCTCGGCTAACGTGGGGCGAGCGGTGGCCACTGGGTGCCTGGGCTTCTCCAAGGCCTTGGATACGCTTCCCCGCGGCCTCCTCCTGGAGGAATTCACGCGTTACGGCCTGGACGAGGGGTCTGTGCGGTGGGTGGGGAATGGGCTGGTGGCAGGCGGCACCCAAAGGGTGCTGGTAAACAGCTCGTTGTCCAACTGGTGACCTGTCACGAGCGGGGTCCCCCAGGGATGGAGGCTGGGCCCAACGGTATTCCGTGTCCTCCTAAGCGAGCTGGGTAACGGGATCGAGTGTAGCTGGATGAAGTTTGCAGGTGACACCAAACTGAGTGGGGAAGTGGACGCTCCGGAAGGGAGAGCCCCCCCGCAGGAAGACCTGGATGGGGTGGGAGGGCGGGCTAACGAGAACCTTAGGAAGCTCAACACGGACAAGTGTAAGGTCTTGCACCTGGGAAAACATGATCCAGGAGTGCAGCTTGGGCTGGGATCCCCCCGGCTGGGGGGCAGCTCTGTGGGAAGGGACCTGGGGCCACCAAGCTCCATAGGAGTGAGTAGTGTGGTGCTAGGGGCAAGGAGGCCAACAGGGTGCCGGGGGCATCACCAGCAGAGCTAAAGGAGCCCTCATCCCACTCTGCTCAGCGCTGGCCAGGCCACACCTGGAATCCTGGGTCCAGTTCTGGTCCCCGTTGGACAAAAAAAGCTTTGGGCAGGCTGGAGGGATCCAGAGCAGGGCCACTGAGGGGATCCAAGGGCTGGGAAGCCTCTCTCAGCCGTACGGGGATGGGCTGGGAGAGCTGGGTTTGTTCAGCCTGGAGCAAAGGAGGCTCTGAGGGGATCTCAGCACCACGTCCCAGTACCAAAGGGGTGGCTCCAAGGACGATGGAGACTCCCTTGTCACAAGGAGTCCCATGGAGAGGACAAGGGGGCATGGACACAAGTTGCTCTTGGGGAGATTCCCATTGGACACAAGAGGGAAATTTTTCCCCATGAGAACAGTCACCCATGGGAATGATCTCCCCAGGGGAGGGGTTGACTCCACCACGTTGGCCACCTTCAAGACTCAGCTGGACAGGGGGCTGGGCCATCTTGTCTGGACTGGGCTCTTGCCCAGAAAGGTTGGACCAGGTGATCCTTGAGGTCCCTTCCAACCTGGGATTCTGTGACTGATTGGTAAACGATCTCTCTTTACTGCGACCCACAAACCTTCTCATCCTATTTCCTCCCCCCGCCCCGCTGAGGGGGAGCGAGTGAGCGGCTGGGTGGGCGTTTGGCACCCGCTGCGCACCCTAAATCACCCCGAGATCCAGCCCAACCTCCTC